GTCCTTCAAAGTTCACTCAGCAAAAACTATTCTGTTTCTCTCTTGGCTAAGGGGCCTCCTACTGTTACACTGTAGAGGGGATCAGTTAAGACAAGCTTCTTTTTAAACTCAGAGAGGTGCAAATCCCTTTGGCTTTTGTGAGAAGCCAAAATATTTTAAATTCCAGAAAGAAAATGAATGTCAATGGCTTGCCATCTGATGGTGATCTATACCTATTGATGTGGATTTATTACCAAACCTGGAAAAAACAGAGAAAGATAAATTTGTAGCATTTTGTTGTTAACTGTATCTTTAGGATATGTGTATTAATGAAAATCTCATTATTTTTACTAATGTTCACTGTCAAACTGTTTAAAAATGTCATCTGAAGAAAAGCGGAATGCTCTGAGTGTTTATCCAATAATACTTTGTGCATTGTATTATCCATACTGGACAATGGAAAGCACCTAAAAAGTGCTGATTTTGTCAGTAAGTCTGAAATGTGAAGAGTTACAGAGAATGTAAACAAATGAGAATCTCTGATGCGTATTAAAATTATTATAATTATAAGGTTTATAAACCAAGGATAAAATACTGATACCACCTCTATCACAGGATATTATTATTATTATCATAGATGATGAGGATAATAACAGTAATAATAATAATCATAGGAATGTTGTATCACTGAAAGGTGATAGAACAAGTTTAAAATACACACTATACAATAAAGAAGATCAATAAGAAAATATAATTTTTATTTTGTGTTGCTAAATACTATGTTATCACTAGCACCTACAGTTACCTCTCCCCACTTTCAGAATATTACCATAGGTCTTTATAATGTAACGATAGCAATGCTCACACAGAAATGTGAACACTATAACCTACCACATGGCAAATGGCATAAAACAAGACTGACTTTTTGCTCCATGCATAAGGGGGCCCTGGTGAGGGCACTGTTAGCTACGACATCACCATGGCGAGTGAACTGCTTAGGTAACGTCTACAGTGAGAAGTCTACACACCTCAGGGCTTTCCTTTAGCTAACGAAGCATACGCTTTCAAAGGCAAATACAAAACTTGATCCAAAGAGAGTGCAATTCGGATGGTTTCCCCATGATGTTCAGCCTTTCAAATGTGACCCAGATTCAGCAGCAGCGTTATTAATTCTATGTAGGCTTAAAAATTAATGAAGAAAACTGTGCTTAAGACATACTAGGAGATGAGCCATCAATTCCTGAAGCCTTAGAACAGTATTTTTGGGCAGATCACAGAAAACATTTGCTTCATTAGTTCCTGCAACCATATTGAATTGAATCAATGGTCCAAATTACACCCATGTAAAAAGCATTTTCTAGAACACTGCTTCTCTGGCACTTATAATCCATATATTATCCACATATAAAAGCATGCCACAGATGTTATAAAATCTTTCTATACAGTACTCAGAATGGCCATGCAAAATTTAAGACACTCTCATCCAGAAGTTACTCACTCCTGCAACAGAGTTTACAATACCTAAACTAGTTAGAGGAAGCTCTCTGTTTCAGGTTGCTCAGTGTAGGCTGCAATGCAGCTGGGTAATCAGGAAGACAGTGAATGGCTAGTTAGATCATACTGTGCTCTGTGCTTTAACACCTACACACCTGGCATCAAGAAAGCTAACTAGCTGGAAGCTAGATTTGGTATGCCCCAATTCAGCTCAATTTACATTTGCACTAAGTGCATCTGATAACTGTACTGACACTGTATCATACATGATCCAAAAGTGAGCATAAAGTATATCTGTCTCCTTGCTGAACAATTTTTATTGGTGGCTGTTTCCTGCTAGGAAACAAGATGGAACCTTATCACATATTCCATCCATCCAAAGGGTGGGAAAATACGTAACTTCAATCATGTGGACATAGAAAATACAGAGTGGAAGGGGAGGGTCTAAAGTGCTATAAAGGAGTTTCAGTGGGAACAGGAATTAGGCTCTTTAAGGTCATGTCTGCATGGACAGTTTTAGACAGTCAGGAATTAACATAGTAATTTACTGAGCTGACAGGACATGAGTCAATTTTTGATCAGAAGCCAACGTAAAGATGCAGAAAAATCTCAGAAAAATACTAATGCAATCTCAGACTCTGGAATGACTACTGCTTTTCTTTGTTCTGCCTTCTTATGATGGAGTGAAGGAATTCAGTGCTTCAAGGAATTCAAGCGACATTTGTCAATGAGATTCTCAGAACAAAGCAAAAAGTCAAATATTCCCATATCTTAACTATAGACAACATACAAAAAATGTGTGGCAAATGATTCTTTCTTTGTTAATGACTTGTACACACATAGTCTCAGAGCTAATCTGGAATTCTAAAAGGGAAGCAGAGAGGGAGAGAACAGAAAGATACAGAAATATAGCATAAATGTGTAGGACTGTAAAATATCACAATGTTTGATATTAACTTATTAAACTATTAGTTCCAAATCCCACTGTTTTGCTCTTCTCTGTTCTAGACCATTAAGTAGAAGTTTTAAAATAGAAAGGGCCCGACTGATACCAATAAAAGACATGCATATACACATATATGTATGTGTATATATATACACATATATATTATGTGTGTGTATACATATACACAAAGACATTATATAGAATGCATCTACTGTTACCCTGTCTTTCAATATAAGTATGTAATCATATATATATATATATATATATATATATATATATAAAACGTGCATTATATGAGCTTTGGCGATGTTCTAGACAGCAGACTCACTAGCTTGAACATTTTAGTCCTTGCATTTTGATTATAAGGATTAGTTCTAGGATTCTTGTTTCTCCCATCAGCCTTGCCAAAATTGTTACACACCTAAAAGGCACACAAAGGTCTACCCTGTAGGTCTCGACCATGTTCTCATATATTGTTCTTCTGTCTGTATGTAGAAATAAAAAAAGTAAAACTTCCAGGAGCTAGATTGTGTTCCCCCTGCCTTCATCTCCTCTCAGATTTCCACAAACTGCATTCTTCTATGGCTATGTAGAAATAATGGAAAATAAAACTAAGCTTTAGATCTTTGGATGCTATGTGGGGAAGGTGGAGGTTATTGCATGTTATAAAGCTTGCATACTGGATAGGTCTTTTTTCTGCTGGATAACTAAATTTCTCCCCTGATACACGGCAGTTTTGAATGTAATCCAAGATCCTAACCTGATCTTGCATGTCTGTGGTCTAATTCTGCAGTTTTGTTTGCAGGGTGGAGAGACAGACTAAAGCACTAAAACTATCAAAATGTTAGAAAAAAATACCTGCAGTAACAATCACAACATTCAAAGGCTGAGATTAAACAATATGTGATGTTCTAATGGGAAAGATACACCGCAGTTTGCCAGTGAAATCTTTCTGACTCCAATCATAAGCTTCTCCAAAAAGTGCTTTTATATACTGTTGCAAGTCAGAATACAAGCTCTTTAGCTGGAGAATGCTGATATAACCCTAAGGATCTGGATTTGATAAGGAACACTTTGAGGTCTTCAGTAAAAAGGAATACTGTACAGGCCTAGAAGTCAAAACAAGAATGAAGTTCGTCTAGGAATCTGCTCATGCCACATTTCCACAATCAGACATAGACTGTGAGATAGCATTAGATAATCAATTTCATTTTACGCTGCCTTTACTTTCCACAAAGCCCCATTGAGACATATGTGCTACCTTAGCTGCAGCTGATAATGACAAAATTTTCACTGACTTACTGAAATAAATAAGGACTTGACTCATTAGCACTAAAGTAGTTTTTGGTCTGCCAAAAGTAATGGAAACTTATCAGCCAACCAAAAAATATCAGAGAGAAGCCTGGATTTTCATCCATTTGTAGGGTGAGGCCATCAGCTTTTAAAACCATTATTTATTTCTTCAGTGAACCTCTGCATACAGAAGATAAAACTTTTGGTTTTCATGATGAAGAACAGAAAACATTTATATGCAAAAATAAACTCTCTGCAATACATATTTCATACTGCCAAATACACACGCAACCATTTGGTGTTTCCTTGTTGTTATAAAAAAGCGATTTACAAAGAGTGACTGCTGATGCAAAAAAACCCAGCCAAGCAAAAAAAAACCCAAACACCACTGAATAACATGAACCACACTAAAAATGCCCATAAGTTTCCCATTGAATCAGAAGCTCACCATAAGAGATATAATTCTCAGTTTATTTACATTCCTAAGCACAAACATTTCCTTATTTCATTCAGAAATCTTTTATAACTAAGGTGCCAAATCTGCAATCAATAGAGTGTAGGCACAGAAATTTCCCCCCATGCTGCAATTAGCAAGCCTAGAAAGACCTACAAAACTTGATCCAAAGTCCAATAATGTCATTGAGGAGTTTTTCTGCTTCCTTCAGTGGTTTTAGAAAGGGCATCTCAGGTCAGCAAGCTGCACTTCTTATTCTGTCAGAAATTCCACTGAGGCAGTACAGTATCAGTCTCCACATAATTACATACATCTTCTTCCTGAAACTGAGGTCAGTCACATTAATCGTACTTTCATGAGAAAATGACTTTTGGAATCAAACTAGCTTTGTAAAACAGAAATAAAATACATATTATGCATTGGTTATAGCAATGTTTTGAACTATTCCAAAGAAATGCACTTTTTAAACTTTTCTACTACTAGAGCTGGAATTGTTTATAAACGACAAAAGAAGTGCCCACAAACAATCTTATGTTTCAGGACTGATTCTTCTGTTATACATCAAAGTTAGGAAGAAATAAGAAGCTCCTCAGGCTCACCTGAAGAACTGCACTTGGGCATATAATTTGGAAAGTGAGATGTATTTGTATCAACTCAGTTAAATGTTTTTCATCATTTTTTAAAACATCAAAAATGCTGATAAATTACATCAACACAATGCCAAATTTGAAACAGAAATGTTTCATCATTACTGCAGTTATCTAGAACTTCAATCATGGGCTAGTAGAAAACATAATGAAAGAAAAGTCATAAATAAATCCATTTTTTTCCTAGGGAATTTTTCCGTCCCATATTTGCAATCTAATAATAGTAGTAAAATAAATAAAGAAAGAATATAATCCACAAATATTTCTATCAAGCATAGTTTCAGATCAATCTTGAATCAACGATACAATCCCAAAAGATTAGAATGTATTCATCATCTGCTGTATTGAGATTTGCAACTTCACAATCACACTGTATCAGCGGTACTGAGAATGTCAGTCTCTGTTTTCCTCTGTAGTGGCTGGTTCTTCATTTAATAAAACACCTAACTGTTTTTGTGCACATGAGAGGAAAAGTTCCAAACTATGCAGGTTTCTCTGACGGACAACTTGATCAAGCTGTTGGGATAAAAAAAAAAAAGATATATCAATTTTAAGTAAACCTGGAAACAAATGACAGCGTTTGTCAGCAAGAATTCAACCGTATTCAAACCCCCAAATTCAATAACCAAATGCAACAACAACAAAGAACCGGAGTAACTTCTATGTGGGCAATTCAACAACAATTTTTTTAATGAAATATTTGAGTTTCTTCAGGATGAAATGTACATAAGGCTAAAAGTAACCTTCCAACAGCTGTCAAATTCTACACAAGAAGTGTGGAAAACCTCAACAGCCTAGCTGCTGAACTAGAGAGATCTCCACAGCATCTTTTAAAATTACAGCTGTTGCTTTTATGAAAGATGCTGCTTCTGCTTTGAAATGAACACTTCATATAACTGCATATTCAGAAATTCAAAGTGTACTGTTAATATAGATGGCAGCATGTTCAAATAGTTCCCAGAGGAAAAGTGGCAATATTTTCTGCCTACTTTGTATATTCCAGCAGTTTACTAGAATCCCCTATTGTCAAACAATGTGAACTATATACCTGCAGCAAAGACAATAGCCCTTTCTTCCCCACCAAAAAGACAGGAATAAAAGAACAAGATTTGGGGGATTACGTAATAGAAATAACATAAAAACATTGCTTACCAAAAGGTATTTGAATTTTATTACTATCATAACATCAATAAATAAAATGCATTTCAGAATCCCTTTGATTTGAATTTTAAAGTTCAAATGTTAAACAATAACATAATTGAGAGATGTTTTCAACTTTACTATCCTTTAACCAGCTGCAAACTCAACTAAATGACATAGGGTTAGAGTGAAAGTAGTGGTACAAGGATAGTAAGATGAAAAAATAACACCACTCAAGAGAAAGGAAGTAACGGAATTTAGAAGAAGTTCAGCTCTGTACTTCTGTCAAACTGTTGTGCACAGGTCCATAAACAATGCATCAAACTCTAACGCAAGGAAAATGCCAATGTGAAGGCACGTGGCCCTGGCAGACTAGAGCAACTAGTCTAGCAGTCTAGTGGCAATTCTACACAAGTGATGCATTAAAAAAAAATAAATATATCATGCCTCACGTATCTAGCACTGACAGCTTTAATTACAGGTTTCAACAAAACCTCTGATCCCATAGTATCATTCTGCACATGTACGCACCATTCAGCAGCTGATCAAACAGTCACTTGAATGGAGATCTTGTTTTAGAACAGATATCCTCTAGAAAAATATTATTACAGAATGCAAGGCAAAGTTAGTGTTACCTTCCCACTTTACTTTGAATATGCACTCAGAGTATAGCTGTAATGCTGTGACTGAATACACAAAGGGAAACATTTTTATGACCCTGTCCTTCACTGCCCTTTAAGTTCTAACATGGAAAACCAGGCTCCAGTAGTTTGTGTATTTTGGTATTTTGCTTCAACAGAGATGAATGTGTCAAATCTAGTCACAAGCAGAATACACATATATTTTCTAGAAACCACACAATCATAAAACTCTCCTTCAGTAACATGTTTGCATGTACTTCCGCACAATTCCAGCTGTTGTGCAAATTTTTACATCTCTTAGCAAAAGCAGACATTAGTCTCATACATAGCCCCATGTGAACCTAGCCCACTGATTTACAACAGATTTTAAAGCAAATCTAGTTCAAATAAATTTCAGAAAAGTCTGCTCTCGATATATTTAAGTATATAATAGTATATAATAGCTGCTACTGACAAGAGGATGAAAAGACTTGGAAACAGCAAACTAAGCTCTAAAGAAGCTGTATCTAGAAAAGACAGTCTAGAACAAATGAACAACATAAAGGCACTGCTGTGGTGATACATTTCTTCTTATTTGAAAGGTATCTTGTCTCCTTTCTTCCCTCTGGTCCAAAATATAAAGCGCATTTTGCATGGAGAAGCTTGCAGATGTTTTTGTGCTCGTGATCCATATTCCTCTTGAGGAATGGGCAGATATAGTGTAATTCACACATTATCATCTGTTACATTTTAGCAAAGAACATGAGAAACCTCTTTCTCTAAACATATTATGTCATCAAATTCTGTTGCTTTTGGTAGATATATCAGTTGGAGTACCTGAGCATGAGACTGATTTTCAATGGTTTCTTTTTATTGCATGTTATATCATCTATACGCCTAGACAGTTTTTTACTGAGCTTTGACCAAGAGCTTTGGTTAAACTGTTTTCTTATCTTGCAGCCTTTCCTTGCATATTCTGCTTTGAAAAGATCAAAGTAGCTTGCCAGATGTGTGTTCTGATATGCTGCCATTAACTTGGTTTACCAAGGCAGCAATCTCAGTTGTGTATGGCTAAATTTATTTTACCATGTACTAACATAAATGTTTAATGTGTGCAGTGATTGGCTGCAATATGAACAAAACAGAATTTCTTGGGGCTTGAGAAACATTTTAAAAGTCTCGAATTAAGTATGCATTTGAGGAGTCTTTGCTGAACTCAAGTGGTTAGTTGGTAGTCTCCCTTTGTGCATAAGAAAAGTTTATTGGCTGTAAAGAGTTTATGTAAGTTCAACAACATGCAAATTTGGAATTCAGTTGCCCCTTGTCTACTCTATTTATGTATAAGCTTTGCCTTGAGCTGTGCATCTTAACACTCTTCCATGCTACAGTAAATGACAAAACACTGAAAGGATTCGGGATTTCCACATAACACAAAAAGAGAAGCAGCAAAATGATGCTGGCTTTGAAAATTGTACATGCAGATGTATTCATGAGAACATTCCTATTAATGGACAGATTAGCTGGGAAATACAAACAAATCTAATGAAGCTTTGTTATATAATATATTGTTTATTGAAGTGTTAGGAGTGGACACATTTTCTTTTTGACCAATGCCTCAACACTGCTGTGCTTCTGCTTGCATAATATGCCATGAGATGTGAAAACATGTAAAGTAAGGCATTTTACATCTTGTTTTTCTGAACAGTCTTCCCTCTATATTTTTAGGTCCTGTTCACTTCATGGAATGATCTCATTATTTAAACAAACATAAATGGACATCTGGCAAATTCCAACTGAATGTGACTCATATGCAAATGTAATCTGTATGAATAACATTTTAGGGATGAAGCATTCACACAACCAAATCAACCTAACTGTTCTAGTTCTAAAAATACTAAAAAATACACTGTGTTAGCCCATATCTACCACGAGGAAGGAATTTTCTACATCACACCACCACTGTTGTTATTGCTAATCAATGTTTTTCTTTCATCATATGAAGCCTACCCAGCTGAAAGTTCCCAGTTCTGTATATTGTGTCCTACTGGCACAGCTTTAATTAGCTCAAAGTTTTAATGTTACAGGATCACAGAATGGTTTGGGTTGGAAAGGATTTTCAAAGGTCATCTAGTCCAACCCCCTCTGCAATGAGCAGGGACATCTTCAACTAGATCAGGTTGCCCAGAACCACTCAGCCTGGCCTTGAGCATTTCCAACGATGGCCCATTCACCACCTCTCTGGGTAACCTGTGCCAGTTTTTTACCACCTTCAAAAAGAGCTGATAAATAATTCTTTAAAACCAAAATATTATTCGTGACTTCCCATGGGCAAGCAGGTGTTCAGTCATCTCCAGGGCACCAGGGCTCCATCACACGTGGCAGTTACTTAGGCAGACAAACGCCATCAATTTGAACGTCCCCTCTTCCTTATTCTTCCCCCAGCTTTACATGTTCCTGAATTTAAATTATTTTAAGTTACTGAACAGTATCTTTTTAACTCTGTACAGATTTATTTGTTTATTAAGAAATGAAATTCCCACAGTCATTGAGACTCATTTTCCAAAAATGAGCTGATTCTTGAAGGGTATTCTAACACATTCACTGCTGTATTTTCCCTTCTGATTAAACCTTCATTTCATTTTTGAGGTCTAAGTGTTATTCCACCATCTTTCTGCCCCAAGATGACCAGATAAGACTCCGTCTGGGGTCCTACCTCAGTCACATCCCTAGACCACCCAGAATAGTGTGCCTTTGAGCAACGCAAGGCATGCCCTGAAGGGAGGCATGGGCCTCAGCAAAACTCATATCTCTGAATAAAGAATTTGACTTGGGAAATGAAAAACTACACATAATTGTGCAGAATACTGCCACCAGGTGACTCCCTTCCTCCCAGGCTGCTCTATTTTACTTTAAGTCAATCCATCTTGCCTGGTATAGCTTCATAAACTCATAGCTCAAACAAAAGTTAGTAATTATTCTTAGCTCTATGTTTTCTTAGCTTTTATCCTACAGCTTATATTTTCCATAAATTGGAATGGAAGTCTACACAGCTGGTGTCTAAAGTAGAAAATAGTTCCTCTATTGAATATTGTCCAACCCATTAGACATTTCAAATTGCTAGAAGAGAAACCCAGTCAGAACTCTATAAATAACTACTATATGTCAGAATTATATTATCCATTACTAGTAACTAATAAAATATTTTATGGAAAATATAATTTTAGGTTTAGCTGAATATTTACGGCTGAAACTGTGATCTCACCATACTAAAGATATGTTTTGCTATTAATCTCGCAGTGGCCTGAAGTTCACCCAGAAAAGTGAAGAAAGCAAAATTCATGTTACATACGGCTTTTCAATTTTCACTTTTGTATAAACATTAAGATGTGTGAAGGTGTATTTTTGAAAACTATTTCTTATGTAAGTTTCCAATGTAGAAAATGGTAGCTACATTTATACGAATACATACTGAACTATTTACCTGCACTTCAAGTGATAATCTGATGAGTAATGTATTCAAATGCAGTTCAGCTCACTATTCTGGCTCCGCAGTACTAACATGAGTAAAAGTTGCAATCTTCTTTTTATCATGAGATTCAATAAATAACATGACCAGAGATTAAAAAAATTGAAAATTTGTTTAGTAAAAAGTTCTTAATTTTACTTCTATTACTGGTATTTTTAATGGTTGATCACACACATGTACACTGCAAAATAAGTACAAAATAATCATGTCATTTTAAAATTATGAAGCAG